CAGGGTGGGCAGCAGTGTTGAGTGGGGCCTACGGGGGGTAGGGGGCTGCAGCCATGCTGTAGCCCCCCTGTAGCCCCTCACCCAGCTTCACTGCTGCCCACCTGCCTGACCCAATCCCTCTGCCAGGAAGAGCCCAGCACCACCCCCAGCTCTGAGTGAGCAGCCTGCCCTGACCCCATGCACAGATCTGGGGGAACACGCATCAGTGGGAGCTGCCCACCCCCCAACACACACTTGTCTCTTTTTATCTGCCTCACACTCTCCCATTTCCATTGTATGCTACTATAGGCTTTACGTTTGAATATTAATCTAATACTTTCTAGTGATACCTGCCTAAATAGGGGCAAGCTAGCGACAAAGAGAAATCTAACAATCTGGACAACAGAGCCTGCTTTTTATAAAGTACCTCTCCAAGAAATGACTTCTTTTTGTGCTTGCGGTTCCAGTCTAGTAACATTTCTATTCTGTTAGGTTTAAATTAGAAAGTGAAGATTCTATTAAGATGAAAATTGATTATAGGAATATGGATTTGAGCAAGCTTGGCTTGGCTGAAAGCAGACACAAAGATGGTTTTGTCTGACGAGTGTTTGTATGTTTGTTTGGGGATGGGAGAAGCAGTTTGGTTTTTCAGTCTTTGATTCCAGGCCACCATATGTAATGGTGTTTGTTTGTGTGGAGCTGGATATCAGGTGTAATAGGATTATTCATTGTGTTTATTTGACCCTGGCTTTTATTTCCCTCTAGCAGTACTCAGTCATTCATTTTTCTCATATAAATTAAAAATGGAGATTGTAGATTACATCTGCCAGGACTCATCTGTGTTATGTGGGATGTAGATTTTTTTTTCTCTCTTGAATTTACTGGATCATGACAGAAATATGGATGGACAAGAAGAAAATATTAAACTCTAAGAACTTGCTTCTGTAGCATATTGATATCTTTTCCTTCTCCCTGGTAGATTACTACATCAAAGCCTCTTTTTAAAATTTTTGATACTGTATTTGTGTGTTGCTTGAAAGGTCATCCTGTCATTCTCTCCCTCTGTAAATGATCAGAGCCCCAAGTAACAAGCTTTAGTACAACGCACATTTGTTCAAGTGGTCTTTTAATAGATGCTCTTAACTGAGGCTTTTAATTGGATATTGTACGTGACAGTGAGATTATGTCCTTTATAGGCAAGTAATGTAGGTTCTGTGCAACAAGATAGTGGGTTTTGACCATTCTTTTAAAATGGTAGTAGTGTAGTAATTGTATGTTAAAAAACAAGATAGTGTGTATAAATGTGTATATTTGTATAAGTGGAAAGAGGCAAGGAGTCCAGAACAGCTTTGAGCCTTCTAATTTAATTTAATTACAGTGGCTTTGACTTTCCCTCTGACTGCTGTTTAGAAACCTTGGTTCACGTTTCTCACTCATTTTCTCTTAGTTAGGAGGAGGGTGTGTCCTTGGATCCAAACTTTCAGATCTGTTTTTTTCCAAACTTTTTACATTTTCACTTGACTAAAATCAAGGGCAGTTTGCTTGTTAGACTGAACTAGCACCATCATCATACAGGCAACCTCTGCTTAACTCTTTTGTTTAGCGCTATTTCACTGTAACGCTGATGTTAAATCGATACCTGATTTCATTTAGCACTCAGCAAGTTTTGTTATAACACTCACAGTCGCTATCTTAGGTCTTTAAAAACAATTGTGGTCGCCATCTTGGGTCCTCGAATACTTTCGGTTTCATTTAACACTCATTTTGCTTAACGCTTAGTTTTTCAGAAAGCTATTAAGAGCACTAAGTGGGGGTTGCCTGTACAGCTAAATAATTCCGTATTGATGCGGTGCATTACACAGGCAATAAGCTGAGATTGGGGCCCAGGGTCATACTTTTGTGCCAGTGTTAACCTCCTGGTTTTCAGTTGGCCAAAAAGAGTACAGAATAGCGACAGTAGTAGTAATTTCTGTCCTAACCATGAACACAACTTCATATTTTTTAACCCTTCCAACCAGTAGCCCTTGTTTGGAAAACCAAACTCTTTCTTTTGTTCTTAAAGCACGGACTGCTTGGACAGTCTCATTTGCTGTTGCTAGTGGGCAGTCTACATGAACTCTCAATTTTTTTTTAAAAAACAAAACAAAACAATAGTATATTTAGAATAGTATGCTAAAACAATAGCCTTTCTACTTTCACTATGCTGGGCATGGGAATTCTAGGAATAAATGAAAAGCTTATTGTTTTTAGTGTAAACTGGACTCTTAGAAAGCTTTTCCATAGCAATCAGTAATTCTGGAGCAGTAGATCAACAATCCTTGCTACACTTTCAAGCCCCTTGGAAAGCATCTGCTATAAACCAAAGAGGAGCTGTCATGGCATTTTTAGGAGCGTATGAGTACCACAACTAAATTGTCCAGGGAGTTCTTACCACCCTGGACCTGCAAATTGTATTTTGTTATTACCAGCTCAAGAGAATGGACTTCAGACCGCATACAACGCTTCCTAGACTGTGATGCTAACTCTTACTCATTTGTGTTCTGTGGGGTTGCTAATGAATGACTGGTTGGCCACCCAGCTGCTTTTAAGAACAGTTTGGGTGTCAGTGCCAGAGAAATGCCCCTTTGCTGGTGAGATGAGTGGTCCTTTATATGCCATCTTTCTCTTTCTCTCTCTCTCTATTCCCCACCTCCATTTTGTGAAGAAAAAATTCAGTGTGATTGCTTCATTTTGGTGTACAAAAGCACAGTGTCACTTCCTCAGCAGGGAGACAGATTATAATAATAGCCGTATTGCAGTGTATTGGTAAATTCTGCTTTTCATCATTGTTGGAAGCAATCAAAATAAACTCTGAATTTCAGGAAGGGCAATTTCTGTTCTATGTAGAGTTCATAATGTAATAAGAACCCCACTGATATGCCTGAGTGAGGTCTGTGCCCTTAAGCTAAATGGCCAGCTCCAATTTCTTATGCTGTGCATTTCCTATTACTTTACCAACTTGAAGCTACAATTTTAGGGAAGTGATTGGGGAGGGGACATGGGGGCCAGGAGAGGTGAGACACTGAATTTTACTGCTCCATGCATTTTTAAAGAGGTGTTAAGTACCTATTATTGGTTGAAGCTGATTTTTTACATGAACACTGAATGTGCTTACTGTGCACATGCCTGCACAGTAAGAAAGGGGGAAAAGGAAAATATAATTTATTTTAGCAGCACCCAAAAAGTGCTAGGTGCTTCTTGACAGATAAATCAGGAACGTAAAAACTAATACTGTACATAACACGACAGCAGAGAAGAACAGGAAAGAGAAGGATACTAGCAGTGAGATTATGCATTTACTCAATGAGGCTAGCACACATCATTATAAAAATGGAGTTTTTTGGGAGAAAGGGCAGGGCGAAGAGAGGAATTGAATAGAAGGATTTGCTCAAGTTTTTTTTGGCGCCCATGGGATGAAGTACAGACAGTGAAAAAGGCCAGGTTAATCTAAGCCAGTGATCCTGAACCAGGGGTACACGTACCCCCAGGGGGTACATGAAGCCTGGTCAAGGGGTACGTGAGATATATTTCATACATTGTCTAACACAGGTCAAAGGGCCTAAAAACTTAATTTCCCATTGAAAGGGGGTATATGAAGTCTCACTCTGAGACCAAGGGGTACGTCTACTGAAAAAAGCTAGAACCACTGGTCTAAGCTGTGTAGATTGAACTGTTAAACAAGTGAACAGACATACATTCACTTTTGATTTCGGAAATACAGCCACATGCCAGCAGTAGCCCAGGCCAGAAGCTGGGGGGCACTAGAACATGTCTCTGTACTTGGCTGGAGCAGACAGCTTGGGCCAAAGCTAGCTCGCCCACTCTGTGGGGAGTAGCAGGGTTGAAGGGAGGTGGAAAGCATCCTGAGATGCGGGGGTGCTGTGAGTTAACTTGAATTTGGAGGGGGTGTGGGACACAAGTTAAATAAACCAATTTAACTAAATCACTTAAGTCTTATTCTACATCCATACAGGCTTATCTTAAACAAGTTTTGGCCATTTTAAAAGTAGTTTATGTGTACTGAACTTCTGCTGTATTACATTTCTGAACCGGTTTCCAATCACTTATATCAGTTTGTGTGTAATTTCTCTCTCTAGCCAGAGAAGAAGTGGCTCTTTTGGTGGAGAAACTAAGATACAATCAAACTTCCATCAAACTTAAGAAGAGCATTCCATATATGGAGAGAGGGATGGTAGAAAGGCATAGAAGATTTTATGAGATAATCATGTAGAATGGCATAACTGGTGAGGCAGGGTAGGATGGGAAAGAGACTCTTGGAGTTTCTGATTTTGGTGCAGACCTGTCAGAAAAGTGTCCCCCAGGGCTGGGGGCTATATGGCTTCCAGTATCTCTGGCCCTGGGAAAGACCTACTAGGAACCCACATAGAGCTCCCTTGGAACCCCATCTCAGATTTGGTAAAAATTAATCAAACGTAAAATGTTTCAAATGAGTGTTGCAGGCTCAATGAAATGGCAGTCTTCAACCAAACTTTGTTGTGTCAGAATATTTCCAGCCAGCTCTCTTGTGAAGCATTTGGAAGATGCAGTATTGGGGAGAGAGGCTGGGGTCTGGCGTTTGGGTGGAGAGAAGTAAATTTGTGAGTTTCTGGCATAAAGATAGGAGTGGTCCCTGAGAGAACTGGAAAAGGGCAGGAAGATCTGCAAAGAGTCATAGAGGATTGGCAAGAGAAGTAGGAGGAAACTTAGAAAAAGGCATTTTTTTAAAGCCAAGTTACAATAACATGCCAGATAAGGATCATAAGTTTTTGAGAGTAGGGAAGAGGTGCAAGAGGACTCTGTTCTATTCAGATGAACGTGCTGAGCTTGTTGCAAGGTAAGTTTAAGTATGTGCAAAATATAAGGAGTTCAGTATACTGGAGATGACAGAGTGTATCCAGATGGAAGTTAGAGGAGAGGAATCCAGATTCTGAGCGTAAATTGCCTGCTTGATGAATTTAAAAGTGAAAGGAAGAAGGGAATAAGAGAGAGCAGTGTATTTCTTCTTCAAGAATGAGAGAGATCCATACAAGCTTTTATTCCAAGGAAAAGGAGTCAAGTCAGTGATAGGTATAGAAGGAGGAGAAGAAGAGTGGAGCCAAGAGAGGTTAGGAAGCCCAAGGGGATGGGAATGAGGAAGAAAGCAGGTGATAAACCTCAGTGTTAGTGACTGGAAGAAGCAAGAGAGATTGTCAAGGGTGGGAGAAGAGGCAAATCTTCCTGATCTCCAAATAAGTTAGAAAGCTTTCTTGCAGAGAAAAAAAGAGAATGTAAATAGGATAGAAGTTTTGGAGGAATTTAATTTGCAAATAATTGACACACTTGGAGATATGTAAGGTACAGTTCTTTGCAAGGAAATAAAGAAGGAGAGGAAATATTTGTTAGAATGCCAGCAGCATGCACAGACATTCGTTTATCCAGGGGAAACTTTTTTGGGAGTGCTTTAACCCTGGTTGTTCCCAGGTTTTTTGTTTCCTGGACTGGACATTTTTACTCTGGGAGAAAAAGCCTGAACAGCTGTACACTTGTGTTTTCTCCTTGGAGAGCAGCCATTCTCCCAGGAGAAACTAAAGGCACTTGCACACATGCAGGGGGGGGACCTGCTCCAACTTGATTAATTGAGTCTGCTGGAGCACGTGTCCCAGCAGCACAGTGCGTCTCTATGCTGAGAAGATGGCAGTGATGTGCTTTGAATTAAAACATGTTTGATATGCTTTAGTTCAAAGCGCGCTGCCATCATTTTCTCAGCACAGCAACATGCTGCACCACTGATGCATGTGACATGCGGGTGATTTTAGTTAGTGTAGCTTGCCAATTAAAAGCTCCCACGTTGGAAGCACATGTAAAAATGCTCTAAATGTTTGTACAAGCCATTAGTGTGCAAGAATGTTAAACAAGATGAGACTGGAAGTTTAATACAGGGAGAGTTTGTGCTGGGAAACAAGAGAGAGTAAAGTAAGTAAACTGAAGAGAGAAAAGGGAAGAGCAAAAGAAAAGTAATGGATGTGAAGGACCGGGTTCACTAGGCAGTTTAGAGGCAAGTTTGCTAAAATGGAGATGAGGTGGTTTTGGGAGAAAGGGAGTTAAGAAATTACTGTCTTCTCAGAAAGGTCCCTAACTGTGTTACAGACCTAGATCAGTGCCCTAGTGCTCTGTCTGTCATTCTGCCTTTTTTTAAGACATTCTGGGGTCAGGTAGAATCAGACATCTGTGGATGAAATGACAGAAAGCAAGGGCCTGTTGATTTTGACAGATTGGTGAATGGAGTGGTGAAATAAATATTGAAGCATGAAAAGAAGATTGCTATGGTCAAGGACATGACATTTTAAGTGAATTTAGTATTTCAAGGGGGTGAAAGGGTGAGGGGAACTGTGATTGAAGTGCTGTTTGGAAATCCCATTATTCTAGACAGTATCCATTTTAGACCAATCAAGATTGTGTGATGGAAGGGACAGAACTCTTGTTCTTCAGATTTGAGGACTTCTTCTCTTGATACAAATCAGTAACCTTTGGTAGCATTAAGGTTTGCATCAAAGTGAGACTACTGTCCTTTCCAGTCTCCTTGAGTCCCTTTTAAATCATAGTGCATTAGGGCTGTTGAATAAAGATTGCTCTGGAAATTTTATTCAGGTATTGAGTTTCCCATTCCAAGTTTCTCTTCCATGTTAACTTTCTGCAAGCTAGGACTTTCTTCTGCAACTGCAGCCTACTGATTCTAGGATAGCTGCATATTTTGTGCCAATGTGAAAACTGCATCGTGCACCAATATGGTTTTGTGGTGTTTGGGGGGTTCTTGATAATGTTTGCGTTACATTGAACGGGTAAACTATTTACGACTGCAAGGTGCTGCCTTAAAAAGCTATTTCTCATATTAATACTCCTATGTTTAGTGGATCTCACATTGAAACATTTCAATTATAAAGATAACTAGGCAGGGCAAACTGAAAAACCCTAATTTCATGCATGCTGGAGTTTTGATCAACTAATCATTCATATTATATACAAGGTGGAATCACGTGCCTAAATTCTTTTTTGACTTGTTTACTACGTATGGTGTGGAGGGGAGCGGTTATGTGCATAAGTATACTTACATTTAACAAATAGCTGTTTTTGCTGCAGTTTTTACTCACCATCTGACAAAACAAGAACAGTGGAAAATGTCTTCACATGCAGTGACTGTTGTGCCTGTGGATGACTGCAATACCTGAGGGATTTTGTGAGTGGGAACCCTTGTAAAATTCCCACAGCAGTAAAATTTTCTATATTTTACAAAAATTTCAAAATTAGAAGGTAACACAAGCTGGGGAAGTTGGATCTTATTCAAGAAGAATTACACTGCTTCAGTTGATCTACTATACTAGTTCTTCAGAGATGATAAAAAGGCAGCATCTGCAGGAAACGTGTCAAAATTCGAAGGGAGATCTGGATATGTTTAAGGCAGACAACACTCTTGGGGTAGAGGCGATATCTTTTAATAGACCAACTAGATAGTTGCAACAAATATTTTTTTTATTTGCAAGTTTTCAAGCCCAATGTAAGCAAATAGTCTCTGGTGGCATGCCAGTATGATGTTAGAACCAGAAATAGAAGCCCACAGGCCCCTGTGGAATTCTTTGACCCACAAGACTGTCCTTCCTCTGCATAGCAATAAAAAAGCTTGACAGTTTCTTAAAGAATTTACTGGTTTTTGCCCTTGAAGGTTGCCTGCAGCACAAATCAATGTAAAAATGTATTTTGGCATTTATAATATTCTTATCACCACGGTACCATACTTGAGCACTGCATAGGGATTAAAAGCAGTGAGGCTGCCTGGGGGTGGTCAATTAAAGCTGCGTAGGTTTTACATTTTGGGGATGTGATGTGGTTTTATTGCACTGAAGAAATGGTAGACAATTCATAAAAATTTCAAAGCGGAGCCATTTTCAAATCTTTTAATTATTCAAAAACTTTGAAACATGGTCTAGATGTCAATAATAAGATACTTGAAAAAAATGTGATACCATAATCATGAATTTACAAGGGAGATCAAAGTTAACGATTACTCTGAGGAAAGTATTATCTCTATGTAATAAAGTTGGTGTCTGCACTTTATTGTAGGACCAGAAACTTTGGTCTAACACGGGGCAGGCAATTATTTCATGTGGAGGGCCGCTTACTGAGTTTTGGCAAGCCATTGAGGGCCGCATGACAGGCAGCCAGGGGTAGCCAAATATTAATTTTCTAAATTTTTTTAGGGGCCCCATGGGCCGGATACAATGGGCTGGCAGGCTGCATCCAGCCCGCGGGCCGCATTTTGCCAACCCCTGTCTAACATTTTCAGAAGCAAAGGCTCTAATACAGTGGTCTTCAACCTTTTCAAGTAGGAGATCACCTTTGGCATTTAAAAGCAACCCAAGATCTACTGTGTGCCGGTGCCACCACACACCCCTCCCTCCCGCCCAGCAGGTAAGTCTGTGGGGAAGAAAGCGGGGGGGGGGGCCGATCGAGGCAGAGGGGAAAAAATTATTTGGGGCACATCTCCCCAGCAGGCAAGTCACACCTAGGCGGGGCCCCACTCAACTTACCTGTGCTTTTGCTTTGCAGCATTGTCCTTCACCACAGGGGGCTCGATCTAGTCTCCACTCCTTCCCTCTCCCACGGACTGACCTGCTGGGTTGGTGTGTGTGTGCATACACATGGACACTCAGCCCGCCCACCCTAGCCTTGGATTGACTCCAAGAGGCTCCAAGATCTATTGGTGGTTCAAGATCCACTGGTTGATGACCACTACTTTCTAACACTTAACGCTAAAAGGAGAGCTTTGTTGTCAGTTTATCTATGGAAGGATGCTGCATGTTTTTTAAGCTGTAATCAGCCAGAAGAGGGCAGCCTGCTTACATGAACATTTGGTACTGAATCCTGTCTCTGTTAAGAGTCAATGACAAATTGAAAACAAAAAAGTCCTGTTGCATAAATAATCAGTGAGAACAGGATTAGGGGTCCTGTTACAGGGCTGTAAGTACCTTTTGACATAGGGGTCTAATCTACCTTGCACTGAACTGTCCACGCCAAAAAAAAAAGCATTAATATATTTGCTTTACTAGCCTTTATATCTTAAAATGTACTTATATAAAAAAGTGTTCAAGGCTGTTTACTTATGTGACTCCAAGATGAACATGGGCCGACAGTGCAAGGTCACAGCTGACAAGGCTAACCGGACCTTGTCGCGCATCCACAGGTGCATCTCAAGTAGGGCCAAGGAGGTGATCCTCCCCCTCTACACGACACTGGTCAGGCCACAGCTGGAGTACTGCATCCAGTTCTGTGTGCCCCACTTCAGGAGGGATGTGGACAACATGGAGAGGGTCCAGAGGAGGGCCACTCACATGATCCGGGGACAAAAGTGCAGACCCTACAATGAGAGACTGTGGGACCTGAACCTGTTCAGCCTTCACAAGAGAAGGCTGAGGGGGAACCTGGTGACTGTCTATAAACTCACTAA